AATCCATATGAAACTTCTCAACCTCGAGTGCAAGGGCAACACCAAGTGATGTGTACCCGACTTGGTTGCAAAACACCACATAAACATATGGACTGCGAAGTCGTATTGAAGAAACGCTCCCCAGCATTGAGGAACCACGCAGAGCCTCCAGTCACAGATGAGGCATGATGTAAATAAGAGTCTCTGGCTTCATCATGACAGATTCGGTGTCCGCTAAACGCGTACTCATGAGCTGGGGGAGGCGCAGGCAAGTCTAGTCCACGAGCAAGACTAGGGTCCCGCCTATGGAAAGATTGAACAACCCGACCCGTTTTCTTCATGTATTCAGCTCTGAAAGTGGTCGGTCAACCATCGATGCACACATCGAAAGGAATCAACACCGACCTCCAGAGAACGCAGAGCTCCGTTGGCATCAAACCTTTGCAAGTTGCGTCCTGAGTCTGTCAAACTCCACTGCAGCTTTTGGAGAACAGACTGTGCGCGCGGGAAAACCGCCTGCCACATGGGAAAAGCAGCATCCAGGGGGCAAGTGTCTGTCCATTTAGGGGCTCGAGAGATGAAGCGCCAGACTTCGCGGATGCACGCAAGATCTGTGGCGTACTCAGGTTCCAACTGCCACGACAGGTGCTCAAAAATCAACACCCTAGCTGCTTCTTGCCCATACCAGGGATTGAACAAGGAGAAAATCTCTTGCTTGACTGCAAACAAGTCGTCACGGTTGGGAGCTGCGAAAGCTGCAGCCCAGCTCAAACAAGGCAAAACCAAACTTCGCACCAATTTTTGCTTTTTAAAAGTGCTGGTTTGTGTCCACTTTAGCAACCTCAGTCGCAGAACAGCTTTCCGCAAAGAAAACTTAAGAAGCTGCCACCCTCCTTTGAAATCAACGGAGAGCCCCAAAACCTCAACTGCTTCGCAAATCTGCAAATCAAACTGCAGAGCAATGCTTCTAGACAAGTCTGAGTGCTGTCCAGATGCAAGAAAACACTTGTCAGGGGCACACGTGAGCCCGCACGCACTGTCGAAGTCAGCGGATCGCTGCAGCGCATTTCTCAAAACTTCAAGTGAGAAACCTTCTTGGAGAAGGATTGCGCGGTCATCCAGGTATCCAAAGCCTGAAATTCCCTTAGTGATTGTCAGTTCGCACCAACAGTGTGTCACCGCTGCTGCCATGCATGGCGACAAAGGGCATCCCTGCGCAAGACCGGTCAGCTGCTCGGTCCACTGGTTGCTAAACGCTCCCTCGAGCACAAAGATCCTTTTGGACTGCTGATAGAAAACACGCAAGATGGCGATCAACTGAGGTGGTGCCCTCAGGTGCAGCAAAATGGTCTCAAGCGCGCCCCAATTGATGGAGTCGAAGAAAGCCGCAAGGTCTTGCTGCGCTAAGACCCACGCTCCTTGACACAGGCTTTGACGCAATTGCATGTGAGCGGCGCTCACGCTTGTCGCCGGCAATCCTCCTGTGTCGAAATGGGATTGCCAAGATTCGCACCAAGGACGCATGTTTGTGGCCAGCGCCTTTGCCCCCGACCTCCATAATATGGAGAAAAGCGAGATTGGACTTGTTCGACCTTGCTTTTTCCATAATAACACAACTTTTGCTTTGCACCAAGCCTTCGGAATTTTACCATGCTCAATGGCTCTATTCCAAATGGCCGCAGCAAGTTCCCACCAGCCGATGGGGAGCCGCGACAAATCCCTGGCTTCCCAAGAATCCGCTCCCCCGACTTTCGTGGACATGGCTCTGGTGTTCTTCAAGAGCTGCGGGCGCTTGACACCCTGTAGAAGGTTGGAGAGCGCAGTCCAATCCTGGCCTTGGGCAGCGTTCCACTCTTTGGACCATAAACTGGCCTGATCATTGACTGCAATTGCGGGGTGCCTTGCCCCCAACTGGTTCGGGCACACCTGGATCCCTTGCTCACACAGAAGTTGTTGCTCAGTGCGGTTCTTCACAAAGGATCGAATGCGATGGTCCTCATGACGTAACTTGCTCGTCCATGCACTTATTATGGCGTCCCGCTCCTGCTTTTCATGTGCAAGCAATAACTGCCTCACGACTGGTGCTGCATGCGGTAGACTCTCACTCGAAAAGAAAGGAAGTTCAGGTGCAAATCGCCTGACCCCAGCAAGGGAGATCTCAACTTTGTGAGCAAGATGGCGATCCCAAGGACGATTTTTAAGCTGGCAAAGGCGGCCATGCAACTTACGGAGGCTTGCAACACAAGGAGAACATAAAGCCTTCCTACTCTTAACGTGCCCGGAAGGTGAAGTTGGAGTCCAATCCGCAGATCGGGGCACAAAGCTGTCTCCCGGCTCACACAAACATTGTTCAGCAATGTCTGAAAGCAAAGTCCAAGCTTCATCCAACTGCACTTGATCAATGGCTTGCTTGATCTCCTCTGTCTGGCAGGCTTGAAACAATTCTTCAATGTGCTGAGCGGTACGATCGGCCACCTTTTTTCGGCTAGGACCTGTAAGGGCCATTGGGGCATTAGCCTGAAAAAGGTATTTGACCACCAGGTGGTCCGAGAAATAGCACTCGCTGTGATGCACCAACGCAGCCGGCAATCTCCAGTGGAATAACGCAAAATCAATTCTGCGCTTCCGCCCTGGTCCTGTGTAAGGGAGGGCGCCGGTCCTCTCGCAGCTGTCGCAGGCATGCGTGCCACCTGATTGGATTGAGTGTCCCAGGGAAGCTTGGTGTTGTTCTAAATTGAAATCCCCGATTAGAACGTAGCGGAGTCCTGTCGAGGTTGCAGCAGCAATAATTTCAGAGGCTTGTTGTTGAGCAACTGCTTCGTTGCAAGCCTGGAGATAAACTGCCACAACCAAGATGGTCTCACTCTTATCACCAGGACCTTGAACCTCGAAGGTGCCAGCAGCATACCTGGAGGCGGCGGAATCAACATTAAGCACACACGGGCGAAAAGGAACATGACGGCATAATGCAACACGATGCGCTCCTGACTCTGGGCTGCCCAAACCAACCTGCATTTGTCTACGCTTCCAGGCATTGATAAACCCCGAAGCAAGACGGACAGGGATGTCCACCTCCGGCAGTGCAGCAATCTGGAAAGGAAACTCGCAGCTAAAATCGGCAACCCGATCGACTGCCGAGATGCCACATCGATTGAGGTTGATAGTAGCAATCTGAAGAGGGAAGGTCAGAAGCGAAATCCACTGAAGTGATCAAGGGCTTTGTCAAACAAGACAAGATCACAGCTCCTGCGTTCCGACTCCGGGGCGGAGGCACAATACCTGTTCCTGAGCTTGGCTAAAACACGGATTCTGCGCTGAAGCAAGCTTCTGCACCACTTGATGCTCAACGCGCTGTTGGGGTGCAAAAAGGGGCAAATTCGCTTTGCATGTGTCATCGCCTCCTTCTTGGCAAGAAACGTGTTGCCACACTGCTTGCACACCCAAGCAGGATGCATACGTGCAATGTAACTGCTTTGCTGCTTGAGATTCTTGCAAAAGCCCTTGGCACGCGGCCACCACAAGAAATTGAAACCCAATGCTTGCATCTCTAATCTCCCTCAGGGAGTTGCTGGTGCGGGCAAACAACTTTGTGCGTACAACTTTGGCAGCTCTCGACTCATAGTCAAGCTTCCGCCATGTGACCCATCGCGTTTTGGGGTGGTGCTTACGCTTATGCTGACACTTGTGCTTCGCAACACTGGATTCGCACATCTGGTCGGCATCTGCTTTGAGCATGGCCATTGGGCAAAGCGGGCACTTCCAGTGAACCTGAGCGTTGCTATCCTGAAAGCGCACCAGGTTTTGGTAGCTGGCTTTCCTACGTGCCGGAGGTGCAGGCAGTGCGGCATCCCGGTGATGCTTGGCATAATGGCATCGAAGAACCTGCCGAACATACTTGAAGGCGCTGACCGAAGTTTTCTACGGGCAAAGTGGGCACTTGACAGGAAAGGCAGAACCATCCCTCCTACATTCAACAGACCTATAGATGCGCTTTACAGGCCGTTCCTCATTGCATCCAGACAAGTCCTGGCTGGCATCACTCACTGTCTTTGTGAGCTTACGTTTGCAAGAAATGCTCTGTGTCACCTGAGCGGCGTTGTCCTGAGCTCCATCCTGTCGAGGAGTGCAAGGCGGGGCTGAGGGGGACAGGGAGGCAGGCTCGGCGTCACCACGGCGATTAGATCGGCCATTAAACACAACCTTACCCTTAACCCCTCGCAACCCAGAAGCTGGATCCTGCAGAGATCGATCGGAGCTGTTGCACCTAGTCTTGGCTTTGGCCTCAGAGGTCATTACATTTTGAGTTTGAAAAGAGGCATCAGAAGGAGCTCTGGACCAAACACTAGAAAAGTCAAGAGGATCGTTCGCAGTACCCTTCTTGCTACCAGACTTGTGCGAAAGCAAAGAAGCACTGGACCGGGCTCCAATGGTCCATTCTGAAGCAGACTTACTAGCCCGACTGCAAGTAGAATTGGGCCCTCCTGCGCGCAGTTTATGGACTGGTCCGGTAGTGATGCTCAAGACCGCTTCCGGGTATTTTTTGGTGTCATCTTTAGGGATCAAGAGATCTACGTGCTGTCGTGGTACCACAAAACCAAGACCCTTTTGGCCTGTGACGTCCGGAAGGACATTACGGCGAAGTCGGCGAGGCATGGTATCAAAATGATCTGTACGTCGAACACCCTGGCCAGTGCCTCCACCTCGAGCGGAGACCCATAGGAGCTGTCCCTGGCGCTGGCAGCCAGATAGTCGTCAAAGGACTGCGTCGGATCACCCGAGGGACTTTCGCCGTCCCATTGTGCAGAATAGGCAGCGCGATGCTTCTGCAGGTGCGTGATTGCTTTCGCTCGCATTTCCCTGTGCTCCACCCTGAGCTTTCCGCCGGAAAGCCAAGTAAGGCCTTCGGAAACAGCCCGGTAGATACAGTTGCCGTCTTTAGCAATCTCAATCATTTTGAGTGCATCAGGAACCGTTCCGACATCACACTTTGTGCGCTTGGCACCAGAGACTGGTTTACCGTCAGCTCCAACCTCGGGCTCAGTCAGCGCCTTCGAGGCGGTAGGAAAAGCAGTAGACCTCTGTTTGGGAGCAACGACCGGCACAGCCCCTTGCGGCAACTTTCGTTGAGATTTCTGCAACGTGCGCGCAGGAGCTACAGAAGCCCACAAAGTAAGTGGACCAGTGTCCGTCTCAGCAAGCAGCGCAACAAGATCCTTGTCGCCTTTGAGGCAAGTAGCACGAAAGCGATAGGATAAATTGCCCCTTTGCGCCTATGGGTAAGCAGTTCAACATCCTTGAACTCAGAGGACAAGAGTTGCTTAACTGCATCATCATCCCAACGCATGGGCAGCCACGGTAGCGTCCAGACCCGCGGCACAAGTTCATCAGGCTGGGCAGCAAGTCTCCAGCCTAAGCGGCCACCATGAACAGCCAATCCAAACGCTGCACCGTGTTGATTGGCCCTTGTGAGGTACTGCCGGGCAGTTTCACCCTTCACCCTCTCTATCCAAGAGATTTTAATACGTGGCGCCTGTGATCTACAGGGTTCAATGAATACTCCCTGCTGGCCAGAAACCGCCAGTAAAGTACTCATATCTTTTTTGGGTACCCGCATGATGCCGAACGCCTGAAGCTCTTGCCCTCCAGCGCGCTGCTTCTCTTCTGCCCAGTTGAAAGAATCCAAAGGCTGGACGTGTCTATCTGCCGCCCAGGTGGCCGCGGTTTTGCTTGCATTTTTGCAGAAGCTGGACCAGAGCTGGTCGCTAGCATACTGCTTGGGCACCTGAACATAGACAGCAATGCTTTGCAGGGGTGCCACCTTGACAGGAGCATTTGCTAATCCCGCAGGAGTGGGGCTCTGAGAGACAGCACTGCTATGGCATTGCAGCACTATCGCATCCCTGAAGCACAGCTGATCCTGGATGCGACCTGGGATCTTCTGAGACTTTTCCTCCTTGGCCAAATAGATTAGAAGAAACTTGTCCTGGGCCTTGGAGCCCTGCAACATGATTTTTGCGTGCTCAACTTCTTGCTTGTTCGCAAGAATAACACCCTCCAAAACCGCATTTGCATCGGTTGCATCGATGGCGGCACTGAGCTTATTGAAAGGAACAACTGGAGCATTCCAATCCTGAGACCTCAGTTGGAATTCCCCCGATTTGGATTGCCTGGTGACAAGCTTCCACTCATTTTCCGCGGAGGGGGATTGTCCTGGGAGTGTTGAACCAAAGGCTTGGTTGCATCCGCCTCTTTACCCTTACCCCGAGCCTTATCACTAGAAGGCGGAGTATGGGGCTTACTCTTACCCTTAGGTGAACCCTTGCCAGGTTTGTCAGTCGATGTGCTCCCGGCCTGCTGTCCCCCTTGAGGAACTTCAGCTGTCTGCACTGAAGAAACCGGTGCACTGAAACCCAGGTTCTGGAAGGCTTCCTTGATGGCTTCCCGAACAGCTTCCATAACATATTGTTTGATCATATTTTCAAGCTCCGGGCCAAAGGGGCTTGGCCCTGGATTTTTGGCCTCCCCTACTCTGACTCCAGTGCTGTGATCATGCTTGACCTGATGCGCAGCATCGGTTTGCCCTATCTCCGGCCCCGGATGCGAAGCTTCTCCAACTCTCATCCCGCACAGATATGCGAAACACACTTGCAGACTTGCAACGGCTGAACACATGTAAGGTACTAGCGCATCACCACATCCGACAAGTTTGGCTCCCTGCCTCTGCTGTGGAGGAGCATCTGGCTTAGCCTTGCTGGTTTCCACTGGCAACGTCATGTGTCGACTGACCTGACAACCGGCGAGCGCAGGTCCAGAATCTTGCTTCATGCCAACTTGTTCCACAATCTGCATGCATGTTGTCACTGCAACCCTGTCCGGCTGCTCGCAAACTTGATCATCAACTGCCGGCATCCCAAACTGCAGCAAAGCTCCCAGCAAGCTGCTATTTGGCACGCGATTAATTTCATCTGACGACACCTCCAGAGACGCGGACTCCTGAGCAACGGCATCACCCTTGACAGAAGAAGGCACCCTTACTGGCAAGTTACCTGGGCTGGCATGCTCGGAAACAGCAGTCGCATGCTCAGAGAAGTAACTGTGCTGCACGTGTTGTTCAGTCTGTAGATGCCCAGAAACCGCATCAGACTGGCAGGATGTCTGTTGCGGTACCTCCCCAGGTACCTTCACGGCACTTCCGTGATCCACATTGGACCATTCCTGTTCACTCATATTCGGGATGCCATTGGCGCAACCAGCAAGCCAGCACATGCTTACTGGTACACCATGCAAACAGGCCCAAAGAAACCAATCCTGGAGGCACTTGTCTCTATGGAGATTCCGTGTATGTAACGCAGCCAAAATGGCTCGGCAAAAGTGCTGCACCGTCTTCCGGAAGGTCAGTGATGCTCCCTCACAACCGACCCCGGAAAGACGCAACTGTCCTTGATCTCCCTCAATCAAGAACTTCGGATGTCTACTCAAAGTTAGGAAAGGGCTAACATAGGAGTGCTCATTCAAGTGTTGTTCCATCAGTCGTCTTTGTCGATCAGAAAATCTTTCATAGGGGCTCTTTCCCCCTGAAGACGGCGCCATGGCGCCTCCACCTGCAAGCACTGTTAGCTCGCTGCCCAATCCAGCTACCCCGGCCCAAACCACTAGGAGGTGGTGCTTGTGCTTGAGCCTTGGAAGAGACGACTTTGTTCGCGAGAGCTGAGAGGTCCAAGATTCAGGTACCTACCAGTAGCTTTGAAACATGTGGCCCATTTCAGTGAAATGGCGACCTTGATGCGGACAGCATCTGTAACAACACCTCAAACAAAACATGGAAAAGAGGAGTGCAAACTCCAGCCACTAAACCACAAGCATCAGGGAGCAACTGTACCGCAAGCCTGAGCCATGGTGTGTGAGGTCATTATCACCACACAGATTTTCAGTGTGGGAAAGTAGCATGAAGGACATGAGGGCAATATCCATCATAAACAAACAAACTCCTAACGCACCGGCTATGTGAGACAAACGCAGCCCGGTCGACGCGGGGTTGCGCGGCAACCAGGCGCCGACAGGGATCGTACACAAGCGAGCAGTCGAACCGTACCACAAAGCCGTTGCAAGTCACGTACTGGTGGACCAGAGGCGGGCCCCATAACTCAGAGCGGCGCAAAAGGCCGGACGCATCACAAAGGCATCCGATGACAGGAATGCAAGGAGTAGCAACCGCATGCCACCGGAAAGCGGCGCACCGACATGTTCCACCACAGATTGCCATAGACTGTGCACAGGCATGCACTAAGTGGTCAACAAGAGTACACAGGCGCATACACGGGATCAGAGGTGCGCTAACCTCAGAAAGGATGATTGCCAATCCCAGCCCACAAGTGTGACCTCAGGACACAGCTGTGCCCAGGAGGTTGCTGCACGTTCCCAACATCACACAAATGGACCAGCAGTTAGCATACACGGGTTAGGGAAGAAGACACGGGTTCAGGTGCGCAGGAAAGGCACTTTACATAGATTGGCCATAGTCAGCCAGTGAAGCGTCACAGGATTTCTTATAGACATACCCCTCCCATAGGCGTGACCTCAGGACACAGCTGAACCGAAAAGGTCGCTGCACGTTCCCAACATCACGCAAATGGGCAGCGCGATCTGCATGTGGGCGTGGAAACACGGGTTGGGGAAAACACGGGTTCGGGTAGGCATTAGGCATTAGCACGAATGGCGGTCAGAGCAAGACAGTGAAAGAAGTCCTAGCTTACCATTCACCAGACAGGTGTTGCATGAGGCGTGCGATGCACTCGAATGTCCTGAAGCATGATCTTGGGACACAGCTGAACCCGGGGGTTGCTGCACGTTCCCAACACCATGCCAAAGGATCCGGGCAACAGAGTACCTGACCTATGTTGCCTCCGCCGCTTGTTCTCTGGCTTGTACCCCGACACGCTGAAAGTGTGCGTGTACTCTCTCCGCTGCCTTCGCGGCTGCATGGATGACACTGTACTCCCATGTCATGGCATTGTGTGCAATGATCTGCCACCTCTGGCGTAGAGAACCTTGCAATCTCCTGTTGAGGACCTCAGTGCACTTTTCATCCGCTCGTTCATTGAGCTTTCTGAGGAAAGGCCCGTCATGACCCCCAGCAGGGAGCCAGTTTGGATGCTTGTTACGCGAAGGCACCCAGATGAAAGATGCAGACACTCCATAAATGCTTGCATGTTGCATGTTGAGTTGAATCTCCTGAATCAAACATGGGCATGTGGTTGCAACCTCACGGGCCTCGATGGCAGAAATTGCGGATTGACAGTCACAGACCACGAAGGCTTGACCCCGCGCCCCATGGGAAGCGGCACGTTTCAGACCCCTCGTGAGAAGCAGGATAGCGTTCAACTCCTGACGGAAAGCAGACTGATCTTCATGCCCTGTGCCAGCCCCATAGGATTGCTCATCCAAATGGATGGCAAAACCACCAACTTCGTCTTTGCTTCCACCGTCTGTTGACACATAAAGTGGAAGATCAACTGTCAACACCTTGGACAAGTGCTGCGCAATGCCTTCAGCAAGAGTGTCAAGATCGACACCCTGAGGTGCCGGCGGCAAGGTCGGCACTGGCTGACAAAACAGTCTTTCCTGCGCACGGTCGGTAGGCAAACGCAAGCCCTCCCTGAGATCCTGAGTGCAAGGGCAACGCCAAGTGATGTGAACACGGCTGGGTTGCAATGCGCCGCAGAGACATGTGGATTGCACAGTTGAGTTGAAAAAGCGCTGCCCAGCGTTGAGAAACCAAGCAGAACCTCCAGTCACAGATGAGGCATGATGAAGATAGGAGTTGCTTGCCTCGTCATGGCATATGCGGTGACCGCTGAAGGCATATTCATGGTCAGGAGGGGGCGCAGGCAAATCAAGACCCCGGGCAAGACTAGGATCCCGCCTATGAAAAGATTGCACAACCCTACCGGTTTTCTTCATATACTCACCCCTAAAGTGATCCGTCAACCATCTGTGCACACATCGAAAGGAATCAACCCCGACCTCAAGAGAGTGCAACATTCCATTGGCATCGAACCGCTGTAATGTGCTGCCAGAGTCGTTCAAAATCCACTTCAGCTTGTCCAGTACCGCCTGAGCATGCGGAAAAACGTCATGCCATTTTGGAAATGCATGCTCTAAAGGACAAGTATCGGTCCACTTTGGCGCCCGTGAAAGAAAACGCCAAACATCACGGATACATGCAATGTCGGTGGCGTACTCGGGCTCAAGCTGCCATGACAAATGCTCAAAGATCAGCACACGAGCCGCTTCCTGTCCGTACCAGGGGTTGAACAAAGAGAAAATTTCTTGTTTCACCGCAAAGAGTTCATCTCGACTAGGAGCTGCGAAAGCGGCAGCCCAGTGCAAACAAGGCAACACCAAGCTGCGCACTAGTTTTTGCTTTTTGAAAGCGCTTGTTTGTGTCCACTTCAAAAGTCTCAACCGAAGAATTGCTTTTCGCAAGCAAAACTTAAGAAGTTTCCAATCCCCGTTGAAATCAACCGAAAGCCCCAGGACCTCAACTGACTCACAAATCTGCAAGTCAAATTGCAAGGCAATGCTTCGGGACAAATCCGAATGCTGGCCTGATGCAAGGAAACACTTGTCAGGGGCACATGCAAGTCCACACGCCCGGTCAAAATCAGCTGATCTTTGCAATGCAGCCCTCGGGACCTCGAGTGAGAAACCTTCTTGAAGCAAAATGGCGCGATCATCCAGGTAGCCGAAACCTGAGATTCCCTTGGTGATAGTCAGCTCACACCAACAGTGTGTCACTGCTGCAGCCAAATATGGTGACAAAGGGCATCCTTGCGCAAGCCCGGTCAGCTGCGTCGTCCACCGACTACTAGAAGCTCCCTCAAGCATAAAAATCCTTTGGGATTGCTTATAGAAAGTGCGGAGGACTGGGATCAACTCAGGGGGCGCTCTGAGGTGCCGCAAGATAATCTCCAGTGCTCCCCAGTTGATGGAATCGAAGAACGCAGCTAGATCTTGTTGGGCTAAGACCCATGCTCCTCGACGCAAACTCTGATGCAGTTGCATGTGAGCGGCGCTCACACTTGCGGCAGGTAACCCACCTGTGTCGTAGTGGGATTGCCAAGAATCGCACCAGGGACGCATGTTGGTGGCCAGCGCCCTTGCACCGGACCTCCATAATATGGAGAAGAGAGAGATTGGTCTTGTGCGATCTTGCTTCTTCCATAATAACACTACTTTGGCTTTGCGCCAAGCCTTTGGAAGCGTTCCATGCTCAATGGCCTTGTTCCAAATAGCTGCAGCTAATTCCCACCATCCAATGGGAAGTCGAATCAAATCCCTGGCTTCCCAGGAGTCCGCTCCCCCTACTTTGGAAGACATGCTTTTAGCATTACGCAACAGTTGCTCAGCAGTAACTCGCATGGAGATCTGGCAAGGTTGCGGACGCTGAACGCCCTGAAGAAGGTTGGAGAGCTCATTCCAATCCTGGCATTGCGCAGAATTCCACGTCTGAGTCCAGGTGTGGGCCTGGACATTGACCGCTACCGCAGGGTGCCTGGTACCATTCTGTTGTGGACCCACATTTACCCCTTGCTCATACAACAGCTGCTGCTCAGTGCGGTTTTTCACAAAAGAGCGGACGCGGTGGTCCTCATGACGCAACTTGTCCTTCCAAGCATAAGTGATCGCATCACGCTCCTGCAAGCAACAGCTGCCTCACTATCGGTGCTGAGTGCTGAAAGCTCTCGCTGGGCCGGAAAGGGAGTTCCGGTACAAGTCGCCTTACAGCTGCCAGAGAGTTCTCAATTTTGTGAGCCAGGAAAAGATCCCAAGGTCGATTTTTGAGCTGGCAGAGACGGCCATGCAATTTACGGAGCCCAGCAATAATACTAGGAGAGCATAAAGCTTTCCGACTCTTAATGCACACAGGGGGGGTTACAGGATTCCAATCCGCAGATCGGGGCACAAAACTACCGCCTGGCTCACATAAGCATTGTTCAGCAATGTTAGAAAGCAGAACCCAGGCTTCGTCCAACTGCACCTGATCGATGGCCCGTGCAAGCTCTTGGGTCTGACTTGCATGGAAAAGCTCCTCAATGTGCTTAGTGGTGCGATCGGCCACCTTCCTGCGGCTGGGACCAGTGAGGGCCAACGGAGCACAAGGCTGAAAGTGATATTTCGCAACCAAGTGGTCCGAGAAATAGCATTCAGTGTGATGCACAGACAGAGCCGGAAGTCTCCAGTGGGATAACGCGAAATCTATTCTG